GTAAGTAATATTGGGGCCATGGGGAATTTTTGTTTTTCTTTTAAGGTTAAAGAGGTACTGGATCAAATTTTCCCAAACCCATGAACAGTTTTTAAAGGGGAGAGACATCGATTTCCCCAGTTGTTAGAGCAGCAGAAAAACAGAAATCTCTAAAATGACTTTTTTAAAGGGTGTGAAATTTGATCAACGGGTACGGGTTTAAAAGCAAATTTTAAATAAAAACCTTTAAAGTTTTACGATATTTTTCCCCAAAGTATTTAACGATTTTCAAATAAATATGAGTCGCAATTTTACAAAAAATATGACCCCCTGCGTCTCCAAAAAGCCACTTTCGGCCCCGGGAGGGGAATGTTTTCCAAAGGGGGCCCCCGGGGGCCCTTAAATATTAACTTTTATTTTAAAAGGGCCCAATTTACGATTCAAAAAAAACCAAAGTAAAACAGTGTGATTCAAAAAAAAACACGCGTCTGTTGGAACTACTCGTTTTTTATTTAAAAATAAAACCTTCTTCGGACATGTTTTAAAACGTGTTTTAAATTCAATGTAAAGGTTTCACCAAGTTTGATAGCTCGTTCTACAATAAATTTGAAAGACTGGACAGAGACCAAATAATTGGGGACACCGCGTATAAGGAAAAGGGCGGCCGTGTTAAAAGTGCCGGATGTTTAAGACACGTGCCACAACGACCTAGTTTTTCGAAACCGCGAAAGAGATCAAAAAGTGTAAGTTCTATATCTCGGAAATGTCCACAAAAAGATAACAGCAATGATGTTACGAAACCCATGCCGAGTAGTGGAAGCTTTTTTGAAATGGCTATTTTTTTGATGATGAAAAACAACAAAAAACCATTATCAAATGCCGGGTTTGGCAAGTTAAGCCGCGGGCTTTTTGGGATTAAAAAACACTGCACATTTCTACCAGACGTCGGCCCGCTCTTGGGAAGGGAAAAACCCCGGGAAAAAAGTTTTTCCCAAACAAGCGCAAGTACGGGAAATGATGTCACCCGGGTTGGGAAAAAATAAGCAGGTGTTCAAGTGCTAGTTTGAACATGAAAGACCTTTCCGGAAAGAAACGCTCGCCGCAAGAGCCGAAGCAACAAGAAGACCCCCCAAAGGGGATCCCCTCATGGAAAAAAGTTTTGAAGAAAATTATCCGGGGCGGAAAACCAAAATTTAAAAAAGGTTTTTTAAGTTCAACTAAGACATCAATAGGGGGAAAAGTTATTAAAAGGACCATTCAAAAAAATAAACTGCTTTTTTTAAAAAATTAAAAAGATATGCCAAAAACCATCATGTTTCAGACTTTTTAAAAACTGAGGGCAAAAAGGGGATTTTTTGGGATCACTACACGCCGTCACCCTCAGGAAAAAGTTTAGGAAAGAAAAAAATAGGACCCCAAAAGGAAAGAAAAGGGGCCCCTCGGCTATAGAGGCCCTTAAAAAAGGGAAATAATGCTAAAGAAACTTGAAAAAAAATGAAAAAAATGTCGAATTATGTTCCCCGAAAAAAGACGGTTTTGGTCAAATTTTAAAAATTGCCAAAATTTAAAAAAGATGGTGGCCCCTACGGCAATGCCACTTGCGACATTGGTTCGAGACACTAGTGCTAAAATGCTGATGGCAAATCACTATGATTCGAAACGGACTTTTTAAACTTTTTTTTTTGATAGTTATTTTTTTTTATATTTTGAATATGTATCTATGCTGTTGACTTTGTTGAATGCATGCTAGAAAAATAATGAATTATCAAGTCATTTGATGTGTAGTTCAATATTGCATCCATCGTTTTGAATACCTTCTGTCATTGAGCATTATTGGTGTACTAGAAGTAAATTGAAGTACATGTACCATTTAAATGCAATATAGTGGAAGCCTGGTAGTTAGTCAGTCAAGCTCGTCTGAAAGATATGATCATTTATTTTGGCAGCAACACTTAATTTTTCTCCATGATGCATATAATAGATATAATACCGGTAGTCTCATTTAAATTTATAGGTCACCTTTTGGTATAGATAATAACCTTTAAGGACCAGAAAATGGTGACATGTCCGGGGGTCCTTACTCTCAGTGCCTGAAAGGGCGGACGGACACTCATTAAGCCTTTCAATACGATACGATACGATACGATACGGACTGCAATACAAAACAAGTACAGTAAAGAACAGTACCAGTGCCGTGCCGCGCCGCCGCTGCGCCGCACCACCCACATACCATACCATTCATGTCTGTTTAGTCGGTCCACAGCTTGGCTAATGCAAAAGATCATTATGAATTTGACGCTTATATAGTCAGCATAAAGGGGGACGTTGCCATTATTTTCTGGGACTAATTGTGTCAATGTGATAGTAAAGGATGTAAGTGTGGCTGGATTGGGGTATTATACCAATGGGGTCTATGACATGATATTTTCAATGAAAGCAGTATTTACAAAGTTGCACATGGCACATACCGAGCGCATGTTTCTTACACAAAAATTGAAGACTACACTAAAAAGAAGTCGTTTTGACTTTACTAACTCTTTCGTAGAGGCTTGTACGTTGTATTTTATCAGTTACTATTATGTTCGAACCTAGCTGAATTGTTAAAATTATAGCATGCAGGGTATAAATGCGTATTCCTATCCTAATGATTTGTATTTTGTAAACTAAATGGATCATTCAGCCACATACTTTAATATTCAGGATTTATGCCAGACTAACGACAACCGTCCGGTTAGCACAATATGAAGAACGTTGGACTATGAGTCCCTTTTGATTCCTGTGGACTACAGGTCACTTTCGTTGTGGATTGATTCACGCATTTGTACTGCATCTTCTGTTTCTGGCATGTACAGAAGTTTATCAAGTTCCTTGCGAAAAGTGAAGGCAACTGTAGTACTGGATACTGCTTGACAGTCTTCCAGGAACGATGCGGTAGCTTAACTGTTTTTCTGGTTAATTTCAATGTAGATTACCGCCGTGATTTGGAACGTAAACTACCACCACCACCACCGTTTTCTTAACGGCATCATTTAATGCTTCGTGGAATTTTGAATTTAAACTTAAAACTTTAAACTTAAGAATATTTTTATTGCATGTTCGAGAGGCGTATTTAAACGTATCGAACCTTTGAACTTTGTACTTATTAAAAATCGTGAATGTGAAAAAAGTGATACATTAACTGGCCCTCAGAGTATATGTTCTGAAATACTGAACCTTCCATGTTTTTTAAAATCGTGACATGTAAATTCTAGCTATCCCATATATAAAAATGTCTTATCACCTCTTGTACGCTCTTTTTAAGATTGCGGTGTCCGTATTTATTCAAACATGCGCCTATCTCCAGTGCATTGTTTAACGGAATACTCGAACGACGCACGTTAATTATTGAAAATGAAGACTTTGATAGCATTTTTGCTTGATTGCTTTTGCAGGTAAATATTGGTTATTTTACTTGTACTTGCTTTTTGCAGGTAAATATTGGTTATTTTTATTTTTGCACTGTGAAATAAGATATAATTCGTTAACTATTTTGATAAGAGGGGAGACAAAAAGGATTGGAACACCAAACTAAATACCTTATTCCGGTATCTACCGGACAAAGGTCTTAATTGAATTAAATGCAAAAATCTTGCCTCTTCACCCAACGGAATGAACTTTTAAAATGTCTTATTCATCTTTTTCAAGATAATGAATTAAAATTGTAAGAATAAAACGAAAAACGATATTTTTCTATTTTTGATCTGATTCTGCAAGCGTCTAGAGGTACTGCTCCAGTCCTGTAATGAGTTAAAAACCTATTCAACAGTATCCCAAATTACATCTTTTAATTTATAAAAGTCAATACACTATACTACAACGGTAGATGCATTATCTACCTTGATAAGTACTTGACTCCCGAGTAAATCAACACAAATATGTCATTTCTTTTTTTACAGTTTTGATTAAAATACAAAGAAAAAAATTAAAGTTCAAAGGAAAATTAAAAGAAATTTCAATGAAATTTTATTTTCAGTGATTTAACCTTTTACTTATGATTGCGATCTTACTATATCCATGAGGCCATAATCGTAACCTAAGTGCAGCAACAGGTCCTATTAAATATATAAGGATTTTTACCCGTTACTGCACAAAGATGACGATTTTAACCATATATATGTAATAAAAAGTTCAAAGGGTAAATTAAAGAAATTACAATAAAATAAATTGTTTGTGGGTTGATTTCAACTTACAACTCCTGCGATTTTACCACCAAAATCATGAGACTAGTAAACAAAAACCTTATTCAGTAGCTACAATGAGTGAATTTTAAAATATGATAATTTACTGGAAATTTTTTAAAGAAAATTCCCCAATGGGGTAAATCAGTTTCAAAAAAATTTTGGGCCAAATCCAAAAAAATTTTTTTTTAGTTCAGCCCCAATTCCCCCAATAAACTCTATTAAAATCCTTTTTTTCTCTTTTCCTATTGTTTTAGTTAAAATTTAAATATTTAAAATTAAAAGTATTGTTGTTTAATTTTTCTTTTTTTTTTTAGATTTTAAACGCCCCAAATCATGTCACAAAAATTTACCAGTTCAAACTTTGCTTTTTTTACTTTGGTTTTTTTAAGCATTTATTAAAATATTTACCTTTTAAAGTGTAAACCCAAAAAACCTTCAAACAATTGCAAAAGATTTTCCAACCGAAAACCTTTTTTTCCAATCTTAAGTATCCCCGTTTTCATTTCCAGGAGTCCAAAAACATCCATATCAAATCCATATTTACAAAACTCTGTTACAACTTCGTTTTCACTTTTCAGAGTCCAAACGGCCTTCATATTAAATAAATACCATACCCCCAATTAGTCTCCTTTTTATTTTTTAGATATCAAACCCATATCGTACTCCATCTAGCTTAGCCAAATTTTTCATGAACGCAACACTCATTGACGATGCTGTGACATTTAAAAATTCGTTTGCTGTTTATGCCATTATTTGATCCCTTAAAAATTTTCAGCCCACTGTATATGGTGAAAACCTCGATGTGGAACTGTTAGTGATTGTGCAGAAAACTACTTGTAATCAATCGCATGGCTGGTGGCCTTCCACTGTACAAAAGGGATGTGTCTCTGTAGCCACGATACTCAAACTGGTATATTACAATTTATTATATATATATATATATATATATATATATATATATATATATATATATATATATATATATATATATATATAATTATTTTTTCTAAAATTTGTATTTTTGTGTCTAATTGGATAATGAGACAATAGCTTATGTCGATGACAACAAATTTAGAATATGCATGAGCGCAAAACTTGGGCATTGAAAAACGTAGACTTGATCTTACCTAGAATTTGTTGGAAAATATAAAACCAGGGAATTTATCTATACCTCGTCTCGCGCCATGTGTTTAAAATGAGTGGGACTAAAAAAAAGGATAGAAACACCACACTGAATAAAATTCTAAAAGCTTGCCTTTTTACCCAACGGAATGAACTTTAAAAGGTCTAATTCATCTGTTCATACCGATTTATGTATGTTAATGGATGAAAAATGTAATAATCGGCGAAAAAACGATACTTGATCACGAATTTTGCAAGCGTCCAGAGGTAAGTTGCTCCAATCCTTTGATGCGTTAAATCTGTATGAAATCACGACCGTTGTTGTCACCTTTAACTGTTGTCTCGGATTCCGATTGAACGGTATGATCACGTGACTGAATTTTTGCGTAATAAAAATGTATCTTTCTTGAAGCTGGATTTTGATGTTTTTTGATAGACAAAATTTTGTTGAGTAATATTTTAAGATCATTTAAATTACGGTATTATCATTAAAGCTGCACGCCTCCAGATGAGCCAAAATATTTCAAGAAAATCAATATTGAGAAAAAATGTAGATCTACTAACATTTTAAGAAAGGTAAAAACATTCAAGATCCAAGTTAAATTTTACATTTGAGAATGATTTTGCGGTATTTTATCACCATATATCTACTACGTTACGAACGCAGTAAGGGCTGGTTTTTTGCATATGTTTTGGTAATTTTCTTGGATTGTATAAGAGCCGATTGCAATATGTAAATTACTTTATTTGTTCACCTCACAATATTTATCTTTAAACACATTTCTTAAATGTTCATGAACTTTTACATGAATTTTGAGGTGTGCTGCTCTAAATTTTTATCAGTATTCAATATTTTTAACCGCATATAACCGGAATTTAGTATTGCGATTAAAGATCAGTGATTGTAATTAATCTACTGCCTAAGATTTTGAAAAAGATAACGTTCCGGACATAACCGTTTTGGTACGATGTTGTCCGATGTTAGATTTTTAGAAAAAAATTTGGCAGGAAAACATGAAAGTAAGACTACTTTAAATTCGATTTTTATTTCAGGAGCAATGTGCAGCGATGGTTCCGTTGCTTCTTGCCTCCAGGCTCATGGTACCCGGTGTCAAGATAACGGTCTAAACTGGCACTGCGTTGATGGTGTCTGTCATTGTAGAAGACATTAAAAAAACTTTCACCTGAAAGTTATCAGTATAAAAAAAGAATAAAACAAATGATAACTGTGCGTTTTGCTTTTTTTAGTATACTCACGTTTTGACTAATCTGTTCCTAAATTTTTGAGGACAATAACCTTAAACCTTACTTTGTCACAAAAGGTCATTAATTGTATCACTCTAATTAAACAGTACTTACAAATACATTTTCCATCATTTGAAATTAAATGAGTAGACAGTTGACTCAAATGTAATGATGTCTAAATATCTACTTTTCAATAACAATGATAACCTTTCAATAAAAAAGCGGTAAAATTGAGCCTCTGCGCGATGATCACACTGCACTTTTTTCAGCGCTCAAAACTGTATTAACGTCAAATAAAACCCAGTAGTGTCTCAGAGAATGTCGTGTAATCTCCGTTCAAGCGCCACATGTAACCTCAGCGTTCACACTGTAACACTTCTGCGCGTTTGCAGCGATCTTAATGTTTTATAGAAGATTTTACAGCGCTGCTTGGGAATTCCTGCGATCTTATCACGGGCATCGACGTCCGACGTTCAATACAATCCGATTGTGATGATACGGCATTGCCACAGTGATTCTTGACCTTCTTGTCGCGGCGTTCTGAATTTGTTTTCAAAGCCGCGAGAACGCCGCCCTGATGTGACAAGAGTTTAAGTTAGAGCTTAACTGTCTATTGACACAAAGAATAAATGTAGATGAAACTGTTGGTTGAGAATTCTGACATACGGGCCTCCTTTACTGCTTGAAATTTAAATCTTCGCTACCGGATATACTTGACCCTTGACATAATAACATACAAAACCGCTCGTATTTGTAAAAAAATATCTTTAATTCAGTCAGTGTATATTATACAAACAAAGTGCTCACTATTAATTAGGATTTAACAAACTAATTCGAAAACACGTTTCATCATCATTTTCAAAAGTGTAAGCATCGTATCTGTTAACGTGTTGTTTGGCAATACATGTGAAAATGATGACTAATTATCAAAATTAGATTTCAACAGAATAATTTGTATCAATGGAATTTTCATATTGACGAGTGAACGAGTGATTTTAGTGTAATTTGTACTTTTAAGAATATTTTAAGATAAGTAATGTTCGGGCATGATGGAATTTAGTATTTCTTTAAAATTAAGAGGTACTGGATCATATTTTACCAATATGAACAGTGTTTAAAGCTGGAGACATCGAGTCCCCAATTGTGAAAGCAGCCGATAAAATAGTACTATTTGAATGACTTTACTAAATGGTGTGAATAGTGATCAACTGATACGGGCTTAAAAGCAAATATTTAAATAAAACCTTTAAAGATTACGATATTTTTCTCCAGTATTTAACGACTTTCAAATAAATATGAGTCGCAATATACTAAAATATAGACCTCCTGCGTCTCCAAATAAGCCACCGTCGGCGCCGGAGAGAATGCTTCCGAAAGGGCAGCCGGTGCCCTTAAATATTAACTTTTTAGTACAAGGCAATACGATTCAAAGAACTCAAAGTGAACAGTGTGATTCAAACAAAAACACGTCGTCTGTTGGAACTACTCGTGTTACTAAAAATAGACCTTCTTCGGCACATGTTGATAAGCACGTGCTTAAATCAATGTCAAGGTCACCAAGTGTTGATAGCTCGTTCTACAATAAAATTGAAAGACTAGACAGAGGCCAAATAATTGGGGACACCGCGTATAAGGAAAAGGGCGGCCGTGTTAAAAGTGCCGGATGTTTAAGACATGTGCCACAACGACAAACACAAAATTAAAAATGATGGTGGCCCCTACGGCAATGCCGCTTGCGACATTAGTACGCGACACTAGTGCTAAAATGCTAATGGCAAATCATTATGATTGGAAACGGACATTTTAAACTTTTGATATAGTTATTTTTTATATTTTGTACATGTATCTATGCTGTTGATTTTGTTGAATGCATGCTAGAAAAATAATGAATTAGTCATTTGATTTATAGTTCAATATTGCATCCATCATTTTGAATAACTTCTATCACTCAGCCTTATTGGTGTTCTAGAAGTAAATTAAACTATTAAAATACATGTACCATTTAAATGCAATATAGTGGTAGCCTGGTAGTTAGTCAGTCAAGCTCGTCTGAAAGATATGATCAGTTATTTTGGCAGCAACACTTAATTTTTCTCCATGATGCATATAATAGATATAATAGTATCATTTAAATTTATAGGTCACCTTTTGGTATACATGTAGATAATAACCTTTAAGGACCAGAATGGTGACATGTCCGGGGTCCATACTCTCAGTGCCTGAAAGGGCGGACAGACACTCATTAAGCCTTCAATACGATACGATACGATACGATACGATGCAATACAAAACAGTACAGTAAAGAACAGTACAGTGCCGTGCCGCGCCGCGCTGCGCCGCACCACCACATACCATACCATTCATGTCTGTTAGTCGGTCCACAGCTTGCTAATGCAAAAGATCATTATGAATTTGACGCTATTATAGTCAGCATAAAGGGGACGTTGCCATTATTTCTGGGACTAATGTGTCCAATGTGATAGTAAAGATGTAAGTGTGGCTGGATTGGGGTATTATACCAATGGGTCTATGACATGATATTTCAATGAAGCAGTATTACAAAGTTGCACATGCACATACCGACGCGCATGTTTCTTACACAAAATTGAAGACTACACTAAAAGAAGTTGTTTTGACTTTACAAACTCTTCTAGAGGCTTGTACGTTGTATTTATCAGTTACTATTATGTCGAACCTAGCTGAATTGTAAAATTATAGCATGCAGTATAAATGCGTATTCCTATCTAATGATTTGTATTTTGTAAACTAAATGGATCATTCAGCCACATACTTTAATATCAGGATTTATGCCAGACTAACGACAACCGTCCGGTTAGCACAATATGAAGAACGTTGGACTAGGAGTCCCTTTTGATTCCTGGAATACAGGTCACTTTCGTTGTGATTGATTACGCATTTGTACTGTATCTGTGTTCTGGCATGTACAGAAGTTATCAGTCCCTTGCGAAAGTGAAGGCAACTAGTACTGGAATACTGCTTGACAGTCTGCCCAGGTAGCTAAACTGTTTTCTGATTAATTCAATGTAGATTACCGCCGTGATTTGGAACGTAAACTACCACCACCACCACCGTTTCTTAACGGCATCATTTAATGCTTCGTGGAATTTTGAATTTAAACTTAAAACTTTAAACTGAAGAATAATTATGCATGTTCGAAAGTTCGAGAGGCGTATTAAACGTATTGAACCTTGAACTTTGTACTTATAAAAATCGTGAATGTGAAAAAGTGATACACTGGCCCTCAGAGTATATGTTCTGAATACTGAACCTTCCATGTTTTTAAAATCGTGACATGTAATATCCCATATAAAATATCTTATCACCTCTTGTACGCTCTTTTTAGATTGCGGTGTCCGTATTTATTCAAACATGCGGCTATCTCCAGTGCATTGTTTAACGGAATACTCGAACGACGTACGTTAATATTGAAAATGAAGACTTTGATAGCCCTTTGCTTGATTGCTTTTGCAGGTAAATATTGGTTATTATACTTGTTGCAGTCTGAATTAGATATAACTCGTTAAATATTTTGATATGAGGGAGACAAAAAATGATTGGAACACCAATCTAAATACCTTATTCCGGTATCTACCGGACAAAGGTCTTAATTGATTAAATGCAAAAATCTTGCCTTTTCACCCAACGGAATGAACTTTAAAATGTCTAATTCATCTTTTCATGATAATGAATTAAAAGTGTAAGAATAAAACGAAAAACGATATTTGTCTAGTTTGTGATCATGATTTCTGCAAGCGTCTAGAGGTACTGCTCCAGTCCTGTAATGAGTTAAAACCTATTCAACAGTATTACAAGCAAAGTTACATCTTTTAATTTATAAAGTCATACAATATACTACAACGGTAGGTGCATTATCTACCTTGATAATGTACTTGAGTCCGAGTAAATCAACACAATATGTCATTTCTTTTTACAGTTTTGATTAAAATACAAAGAAAAATTAAAGTTCAAAGGAAAATTAAAGAAATTTCAATGAAATTTATTTTCAGTGATTTAACTGACAATGATTGCGATCTTACTATATCCATGAGGCCATATCGTAACCTAAGTGCAGAAACAGGTCCTATTAAATTATATAAGGATTTTACCCGTTACTGTACAAAGATGACGATTTTAACCATATATATGTAATAAAAGTTCAAAGGGTAAATTAAAGAAATTACAATAAAATAAATTGTTTGTGGGCGATTCAACTTAAAACTCCTGCGATTTTACCACAAAATCATGAGACTAATAACCAAAAACCTTATTAGTAGCTACAATGAGTGAATAAAATATGATAATTTACGGAAACAATTATGAAAACTTTCCTAATGATAAATCAGTTTCAGGTCAATTTTGCCTAACAAAATAATTTTTTCGTAAGATACAGACAAACATTCTACCAACTACAGACAGTCTAATAATATATCTTTTTTAATCACATGACTTCCTGTGTGTTTCTATGTAAAATAACTATTAAACTATAAAGTATTGTTGTTAATTTTCTTCTTTTTTTAGATTAAGCGCCAACTCATGTCACAAACTATACCAGTTCAAACTTTGCTTTATTTACTGCGTTTATTACATGCATGATTAATTATTTCACACTTTACAAAATTTAACCAATAAACCTTCAAGCAATTGCATCACGTGATGTTCCAACAGAAATCATTTTTTGATCCAATCTAATTTATCCTCGTTTTCATTTCCAGAGTCCAAAAACATCCATATCAAATCCATATTACAAAACTCTGTTACAACTTTGTTTTCATTTTCAGAGTCCAAAAGGTTCATATTAATTAAATACCATACCCCAAATAGTCTCCTTTTTATTTTTTAGATATCAAACCCATATCGTACTCCATCTAGCTAGCCAAATTTTCATGAACGCAACACTCATTGACGATGCTGTGACATTTAAATTCGTGCTGTTTATGCCATTATTTGATCCCTTAAAAATTTTCAGCCACTGTATATGGTGAAAACTGTGGAACTGTAAGTGATTGTGCAGAAACTACTTGTAATCAATCGCATGGCTGGTGGCTCCACTGTACAAAAGGGATGTGTCTCTGTAGCCACGATTCTTTTACTGGTATTTTACAACTTATTTTTTTTCTCTTTTAAAATGTTATTTTCGTGTCTAATTGGATAATGAGACAACAGTTTATGTTGTTGACAACAGATTTAAAATATGAATGAGCGCAAAACTTGGGCGTCCAGATCGTACTTAGAATTTGTTCAGCGAATATATGTATCTATATCTCGTCTCAGAAGAACCACACTAAATACCGTTTTCCGGTATATACCAGACAAGGCGTTTGAATGATAAAATAATAAAATCTTGCCTTTTTACCCAACAGAATGAACATTAAGAAGTCTTATTCATCTTTTCACACCGATTTATGTATGTTAATTGATGAAAATAATCGGGGATAGAAAAAAACGATAATTGTATCTTTTGTGATCATAAATTTTGCCAGCGTCCAGAGATACTACTGCAATCATGTAATGAAATAAATCCGTCTGGAATTACGTCCATTGTCGTCACCTTAAACTGTTGTCTCTGATTTCGATTAACGTTATGATCACGTGACTGAATTTTTGCGTAATAAAAGATTGGATCTTGATATTTTGATATTGATTTTTGATGTTGATATTTTTTGATAGACAAAATGCTGTTGAGTAATATTTTAAGATCATTTATCATCGTTATTCATTATTTTTTAACCGTTCATAACCGGAATTTAGTATTGCGATTAAAGATGAGTGATTGTTAATAATCTACTGCCTAATCTAAGATTTTTAAGTTCCGGACACGATTCGGTATGATAGTGTCCGGTGTTAGATTTTTATATTGTTATGGCGGGAAAACATTAAAGTAAGACTACCTTAAATTCGATTTTTATTTCAGGAGCAGCGTGCACCGATGGTTCCGTTGCTACTTGCCTCCAGGCTCATGGTACCCGGTGTCAAGATAACGGTTTAAACTGGCACTGCGTTGATGGTGTCTGTCATTGTAGCAGACATTAAAAAACCTTTACCTGAAATTTATCTGTGTAAAACAAAAAATAAAACATGATAAAACTATGGTGTTTTTTTAGTACACCCACGTTTTGACTAATATGTTCCTATTTTTTTGATTACAATAACCTTAAACCTTACTTTGTCACAAAAGATCATTTATTGTTTCACTCTGTTTAAAGAGTACTTGCAAATACATTTTCCATCATTTGAAATTAAATGAGTAGACAGTTGACTCAAGCGTAATGATGTCTAAATATCTACTTTTCAATAAGAATGATAATCTTTCAATTAAAAAAACTATACAGTTCTGTTGTTTTGGTTGTTATGTATTTTGATCACATTGCCAATCGTTTGAAAGAATCAATTGTGTGTGTGTGTGCGTGTGTCTGGGCCAGTTTACCTTACATGACGAGGTGAATGTGCTGTTTTAACCAATAAAACGTGAGGTTATACCTACATTGTGAGGTATACCTAGGAACTTTAGCCTTCATTCCGTGAGCCATTTTGGTTTAGAAGACTGACATTGTAAAGACATTAGGTTAAGTTGAGAGTTAGGAACTTATTAGGGTAGGTTAAGGGTAAGGGTTAGGGTTAGAAGTCAGTTGAACAAATAACAAATACCTCACATTGTTATAAAAACAAGTTTGTTAGACCACTTGTAAATAGAGGTCACATTTCAATAATCCTTCATTGATTAAATATAATAGAGTTACCTCCAAATACAGACCACTTGTATATAAAGGTCATGTTTGATATCTCCTTTAGGTGGCCTTTGTTTTTCCGCCGTCTGACACCCTAGGCCGGTTAAAGTAACTCGTAATTGGTAACTAAGGACTTTTAATTAATACTCATGACCAATGTCGTTGGTTGCTGACAGCCATAGATGTTTGGCGCGTTGATCTGTCACTAACCCCTCCCCCCTCACCCACTCTACAACATCCTACCTCTCAAAACAATGTAAACTGCAGTATTTTTCATTTGGAAACATGTTTTAATATTTGATTTATGCTTTTAATTCAATTTTCTTTATTTCCAACTAAGAAATGAAAAATTTATACATATATATATATATATATATATATATATATATATATATATATATATATATATATATTTAGTATTTAAGTTGGGCCCGTGGGGGGGGGGGGTAATAATAATAATAAAAATAATAATGATGATGATAATGATAATGTTAGTAATAATAATAATGATAATAGTAACAATAATAATGATAAAATTATAGAACGTGCATATGATAAAAATAATTATAAGGATAATAATAATAAAGATATTATAATACATTTAATAATAATATAAATGACCACATAGTTCACTTTCTATATGATGTTTGTATCTGTTACAACATTTCTGGACTTGTAACGTTCTGGAGGGAGTTAAATGATGATGATGACGATAATAATAATAATAATAAAATAATAATAATAATAATAATAACAATAATAATAATAACAATAAACAATAATAATAATAATTATTGTTATTATTATTATTATAGTTATCATTCCGTTTTTTTATATAAGACATTTTGCCATAGTTATCTCCTTTACAGTTGGAACAAAATAAGTATCGGATTTGAAAACTTTTTGACATACACTTTATTTCATTTCCAGTACATTTACAACATATTGCAATGTATGCCTCCAAGAATTTAAAACTAATGTAGAATTATTAAATGAGCCAAAAATGTGAATTGATTAGTTACAAAATTAATATCACCGATGTTATGCCATTGTACCTTTGTTGCCGAATGTACGCCATGGACGAATTTCGATCGTCATCTCTGATTATATATGGAGAAATTGACAGTTACTTGCGGGGTTACTTCTGATACAAATTCGAGAAACACGGATTAAGACAACTTCCAGACGTTGTTTTAAAGTTCGTTTTCTTCTTCTTCTTTTGTTTTTGTATAATGAAACACTACGAGTACATGTACAATAAATATTTACTGGAACTCCACTGAGGTCAAAAATCTTAGGAAATTTAATTTGAATTTCTTACATAGATTACATAGATTAGCTAGGGTACTTAAAACAGGAAGATATGCAAAAATAAGTTTAAAAATTATTATATATAAAAAAAATGAATCGTATTTTTTGTTGTATCTTAGCCAGATTTGATTTCAATTTTGGGTCATTTTTTCACATTTAGAATATTTATTCCGGAGAAGACGCTGTGAGCAATTGGTATAGAATTGCGCACACAAGTTTTTGATTTAAACCTACATCAAATGAAACATTTGACCCGTGTCATGACAAAACCAACATAATGGGTTGCGACCAGCATTGATCCAGACTAGCCTGCGCATCCGCGCAGTCTGATCAGGATCCATGATGTTCGCTTACAAACCCTTAACATACCCTATATACAAACCCTATAAACCTTACAAACCCTATAACAAGTAGAGAAACTGATAGCGAACAGCATGGATCCTGATCAGACTGCGCAGATGCGCAGGCTGGTCTGGATCTATGCTGGCCGCAAACCCACTATGTTGGTTTTGTCGTGACGCGGCTCATTTATCTCGAAAAATCGTTTTCTGTGCCGTCATGTCAAATAACCTATGTGGAGTCCCTTTAAAGTTACGAAAGAACAATAAAACAATGGCAGTAAAAGAGAAATTACAAAAAATAAGCACAAATTAAATATTTATTAATACAAAAGGATTTAAAAATAGAAAGATTCTTCAAAGAAAAAGATTTGTATATATCACAAAATAGTTATTGTAATGTTGATATTACATAAATAATAGCAATGACTGATTAAAGGCACAATATACTTCAGAAATCAATATCTTTTTACAATTCTTTAGAAATGTCAGATGTGTGTTTGATAATATTTTAGAATGACTTAAAAGCATTTTAGATGTTAAACAAATGCAGAATTTAGCGTTGAATGCGCAATAATGCGTTTATAAAGTTAGCAAAATGTAAGCAAAGTAGTATTTTGACTTCGATACAAAATACTAACTCCCTATAATAATACCTATTGCCAATGAAAAGAAGCGAAAGTTAGTTCATATTTATGGCCAATGAGAATATTTTGGAAACTGTAATAAGATACCAAAAATAAAACAAGTTTTAAGAAATATAATATAATTTCATGGGCTAAATGGGCCCTTAAGATTCTAAAAATTACAATAATTTACATATCACAGAATTTTATCACACGAAAAATTTAAAATCACTTAACATACAACAACACAACAAAAAAAATAATAAAAAAGATTATAAAAAGAGAAAATAATATCAAAAAAACAACAAATATCACAAATGTCAATACAACAGATTTGCGAAGAAAATCAATAAATAAAATTACATGATTTCACTTGTGTAGCACTAAGCATCAAGCTATGTGATGCCCTAATAGAAAAAAATTGCCTGCTCCATTTGAGACTCGAACCAACATCCTTCCACTGTGCCACTGGGCACATCAAAATCTGAATAAGTAAAATCATTGTCTACAAAGATAAGACATACCAAAATTGACATTCATTCTTATTTCTTACCAATGATTATTGTCATGAGTGATTGCTTTAAGGATGGAAATTATAAATTGAGAATCATTGGGTTTACTTCTGACTTTTCCTTATACATGTACATGCAGCTTTTCTTTGGGAAGCCTGTGGTCCTGGGTTAACCTGCTCGCTCAGGATGTCAGTGACCCGAGATCTGAATTTCGGTCGAATTTTTATTCTTTTTCCTCAGGGAATTAATTAACCAAGATATGCAAAGAAAAAGTAAAAAGAAACAACTCCGGCCCAGCAAAATTCATGTATCAAGGCATGCGAAAATGGGAGTCATTTTTGACGTGATCATATAATCATATTTAAAATAGAAATTCTTTATAAGCAACGATCATATGCTTGTAAAACGTATAGGTCCAAAGTGATAACAAAAACATAAATGATTTCCCCCCAAAAAACTTATTTCATATGCAAAACTGTTTTCTCTAAATATTTTATGGTGTTTGAAGTTTGGACAAAAATGCAAAGAGAAGCACGAAAAGATAATAATCAAACTTTTCTAATTATCGTTTACTATACAAAAGATTAGAAGCACGAAAAGATAATAATCAAACTTTTCTAATTATCGTTTACTATATAAAAGATTAGAAGTAATAAAAAGCTGATTCTTTTTATCCATTTGTAACCCTTAAACAACTTTACAATACAAGCATGGCGGTCAGTTGCACTTTTGAAACACTGTTATCCCTCTGTCCTCCAATTATGATTGTGTCCTCTTGACTGCAACCAAGTGATAGGGGATGCTGAATACCGGTGACAGGCTGTGGAAAATCTTGTCGTATTTGGTGACCATTGTTTTCACTCAAGGATACCCATACAAAAGGATTAGCTGCGTTTTCAACAAGTATCAGTACATGCCCGTATGGATTATCAGACGGGATGAAGGCAATATCCCTGATGTGTCTCAAGCAATCATCCACAATTTTCCAATCTCGAATCTGTCCCTCTTGATACTGAAGAACAATGACGCATTCACTGCCATGGTTTCTGTCTGCAATGAATATTCTGTTGTCGTTATGTTTATGACTGACAGATACTTTGCATAGATCTGACTGGTCTCCGGCATCGTAGATCTCACCAGGCATTTCTTCACCATTCTCTATATTGTAGGCATACAGTTTATGATTGTCAACAACATAGATCGTATTATTACGGCTATTTATACCGTTGCAACGATGGCCACAGAGTATCTTCCTTTCTAGGACGAATTCAACCCGACTTCTCGCTTGAACGAACTGGAACCCGTCATCAAGTGCCACCGCTACTCGGAACGCACCAACGCTGCATACGTCATTTATTTCACAAGTAAAGTCGCACGTAGTTATTACGTTATTATCATTTGGATTACAAGCAGAGTGCAAAAGCTTTAGCTTTCTGTTTCTGCTATCAGCAAGAACAATCCAGAATTTGGCTAAACACGAGCCTATGATGGAGCAATCATCCTCATCGTTGGCATGTCTTACGTTATATGTCTGTGGCTCCATATTTATGTCTCGATACCAAACTCTTTATCAACAATGGAATCTGCAATGAGAAATTGTAAGCAATTGCTTTGCTTCAAATCATAGCAATGCTTATACTGGGAAGCTGATTTAAAGTTTGTTTCAAAGACATTTTTTATCTGAAAAAACTTGAAATGTAATAAAATCTTTAAAGGATAAAAACTATCTGCCTAATTATTCAGAAAGTTTCCGAAAATATTACTTAGGGGTCGAAAGTATAGAGGTACGATACTTTCTTATGCGCGGTGAAATGGTACGGCACTGAGTTATGGAACTAATTTATGATACAAATATAAGTAACTTTTAACACATAAAGTACTTTTTGAAATTTATTTCAAAATAATTTGTAGAATGTTAGTACGAAGAAGATAATCTATTTCTGACTTCTTTTGTCGAGCATTAAAATAGAAAAATTATTAACTACACGATTTTTCATGTTTTATTTCTTAAAACAGGTTTTTAATCAAAGAAGTCAATTTGAATATTTCAATCCACTTATACCAAACTTATCTGCATTTCTTCTATAACAGTTCAAACTTCATGGACTTACACAGATAAATACCAATAACTTGTGAAAATACGCAGACATATCTCTTCTGTTACTCAACTAATACCTTTAGTTTGATAAAACTTCATTCATTGTCTAAGATAAGTTTTTTTCTTTTTAAAAATGTATTAACTAAAGGCAAACTTCTTTAAAATTTGCATTATTGCATCACAAGAAAAGGTATTTTATTTATATTTTCCTTGCTAATTAGGGGTACATGTACTTTGAAAGGCGGCGTTCAATGAACACAAGTCTTATGTTTTAATATAATGTGACAATGCCTGGGTAGAATCTTATCTTATCAGTGTCAAGTTGTTTATTGGAAGGCCAGTGTTTATTTAACCCATTACTGCATGTAATGAGCATTTTGTGAAAAATTGAAGTCTCCCATTACAAATTCAGATTGCTATAAAACTATAAAAACTGCTTCAATACTAATCAAACTTGGCACAACTTGTTGACTGGACCATTGCCTTTGTAACAACATGCTCAGTCTTAAATTTCCTGTTACCATGGCAACGAGGGAACATCTCAAAATTGGCAAAAATCACTTTTTTGCGTTGATTTTTTCCATCAAAATTGATTTCAATGGATTGAGATAGTCAAAGGCTTTTCAGCGTTGGATACTCGTTACCTTGTGATCGGCATGGGCACATTTTTAGCCTCTCACAAGTCCAAACTCTTCTTGGCACATCCCCCTTCGGGCAACCCCTTGATGTATCTTTTGGCCGAAAAATTGGTGACTTTTTTTAACAACATTTCTCAAACAAAAACAAGTGTTTAGGGCCTAAATAAGGCATTTTTTTCATCATTTGAGACATCGAAAAGGGGAAGGGAAGGCGTTAAAAGGCGTGTATATTTGGTGATGTGTTAACTGATTAGGTGCTTATTTCCCTTTCTACAGAATGAAAATTTTTTTTGACCAGCATGGATCCAAACCAGCCTGCGCATCATGTGAAAATTATCTGGTTATGTTAAATTACCCGGTTATGTTAAATTACCTAGTTATGTTGAATTACCTGGTTATGTTAAATTACATGGTTATGTTGAATTATCTGGTTATGTTAAATTACCTGGTTATGTTAAATTATCTGGTTATGTTAAATTACCTGGTTATGTTAAATTACCTGGTTTTGTTAAATTACCTGGTTATGTTAAATTATCTGGTTATGTTAAATTATCTTGATATGTTAAATTATTTGGTTTTGTTAAATTACCTGGTTAAGTAAAATTATCTGGTTATGTTAAATAACCTGGTTATGTTAAATTATCTGATTATGTTAAATCACCTGGTTGTGTTAAATTGTCTGGTTATGCTAAATTACCTGGTTATGTTAAATTATCTGGTTATGTTGCATTACCCGGTTATAATAATAGCATCAATAATTTTTTTTTTATTTCTATCATTTTCAACATAAAACTAAAAATGAGATAATATTGATAGAAGTACATTGATATTGAGAAATACAAAAAAAAAAAAAATAAAAATTAAGTTAAGAAATTGTTATTTAAAACATTCCTTAAAAAGCCTACACAGGAATTATGAAACAGTAACAGAATCTGAAATATTACTTATTTTTTCTTGGTGAATTTATTTTTTGAAAGTTATAAAGATATTTGTTGCAATTAAGGTAACTGCTTTACAATCAGTGCATTAATGGTCAATCGCACAGGGAGTGAACTTCAAAGTGCACTTTAAAGTGTACTTGGTGCGCACATTGAAGTGCACATGTAATGCACAACAAGTGCACTTTGTGTGACACTAAGCTGTTTAGTGTGATCTCAAGTTAATCCTGTATATGTATAAAAGCTCAAATATAGAACCATTCCAAGATTTTCAAAATGACATGACCCTGCTAACTAAGGATTTTTTACAAACTTGTTAGACCGTAAACATATATTTTTATTGATTTTCATCTGAATTTTATTTTACCTATACATGTCATACTGATTATGTAAGAGCGCTAAAGCGTTTGCAGTTCGAATGCACAATTTTGTGATGCAACAAATCCAATTTGTTTTTAGTATAAATTGTAATTTGTATGATATAATGCTTATTTCAATTATTATCTACAAGTGTTGACTAATGAAATAATTTGTAAAACGTTTTGTTGGTGTTTATGTTTGTTTTTTTTTATAATATTTCTTAATGAATACAAAATCCCGAAATAAATGTTTCAAGAAAAAAATGCAACATACGAGTACAACAAATATTTGAAACAATCAAGCTCTTCCCGACGGGAAACGGACAACATCCCTCCCGGACAAAAGCCCTCCCGTCAAAAAATGACAAGGCGGACAAAAGCCCTCCCATGAAAATGACAGTGCAGACAAAATTGGCCTAAGTACGAGTATGAGCTAGAACCACATTTTATCCTGAAATGTTTAACGAGGTAACTTTTTAGACGAATGTCGTAAAAAACGTAAAATATTCATGATTACAATTTTAATATGTTGAGTGCATCGAAAAGAAAATATAAACTATTCAATGTGCAAATATGTATTTGCTGCGGGGGGGGGGGGCTTTTGTCCGCCCTATTATTTTCACGGGAGGGCTTTTGTCCGCCCTGTCATTTTCATGGGAAGGCTTTTGTCCGCCTTGTCATTTTCACGGAGGGCTTTTGTCCGCCTTGTCACTTTTTGACGGACGGGCTTTTGTCCAGGAGGGCTTTTGTCTTTGTCCCCCTGTCGCCTGTCTAATAAGCTTATCCTTCGATTTGAGTCAAGCGACAATGTGAGATCGCGACAACACCTTAGCGACAGGACGGGAGACGGACAAAAGCCCTCCCAGGACAAAAGCCCTCCCGTCCAAAAATGACAAGGCGGACAAAAGCCCTCCCGTGAAAATGATAAGGCGGACAAAAGCCCTCCCGTGAAAATGACAGGGCGGACAAAAGCCCTCCCATTAAAATGATAGGGCGGACAAAAGACCTCCCGCGAAAATGACAGGGCGGACAAAAGCCCTCCCGTAAAAATAACAGGGCGGACAAAAGCCCTCCCGTAACATAAATATATAATTCTGTATGTTAAATACCTGTTTGTGTGTTTTTTTTCTTTATATTGGAATTATATACGATATTTTTGTTGTTGTTGCTGTTGGTCTTATGCCGTCTCGGAACATTCCGGACGTCTGTCACGTAAATATCGTAAATATGAAAGGATAATTCTCATACGAGGATTAAGATTGACAGAGTAACTTTGAAATTTGTTATAAAATAAAGAATGAAAAAAAGGTGTTGGCTTATTCATATGTTGAATCCCCGAAATGTAAAATCATTCTAGGAATTATAATTTTAGTTAATTTATACTTCTTTTCATCTTTATATATCTTTTTATTTACGTCAATGATGATTCCCGAATAAATCGATACGAAATATGAAGTTACAGATTTTAGCATTTTATGTCCGGAATGTTCCGACACGGCATAAGACCAACAAAATTTAAAATATCAACAACAAATGTATCTGCCTACTTTACAGTTTTAGAATATAAGAAACAAAAACAAATAAATAGGTATTTAACATACATAATTATATATTTTATGTTACGGGAGGGCTTTTGTCCGCCCATTATTTTTCACGGGAGGGCTTTTGTCCGCCCTGTTATTTTTACGGGAGGGCTTTTGTCCGCCCTGTCATTTTCACGGGAGGGCTTTTGTCCACCCTATCATTTTTACGGGAGGGCTTTTGTCCGCCCTGTCATTTTCACGGGAGGGCTTTTGTCCGCCTTGTCATTTTTGGACCAGAGGGCTTTTGTCCGGGAGGGCTTTTGTCCTACACTCCGACAGGACAACAAGACGAAAGTCCGACAACGCGCCGTTTGGCATTTTGACGTGCTGTCGCTAGCGACAACACGACGCACAAAAGCGTTAAAATCTATATTTGATCAACATATATATAATATTCCTGCTTGCCAGTATGATTTAAGTACTTGTTTTATAGTTAAAATGATTGGTTACTTTATTACCCTTTCAGATTGTTCCCCCTTTTTTATTGGATCCGCCGAAAGAAATTGATATTACCCTTTTTGTAGAAAGCAATATGCACTGTGAAGGTGCGCGAACGGTTCGATCTTTATACGCTCCGGTGACGTCATGTTGCGATGAAGGGGTCAAAGGGATCTTATTTCGACGTTAAATTTGAAATAACATTTATTTATTTTAAAATCATTTTACTCGGAGGGGATGGATAAAAACATTAAAATCAAGTTGTTTAATAATCCTTTATAGTCCTTAATCCAGGCAATGCATTTAAATGATTGTACAATTACAAAATGTATCACAATGTAGAACGAAAAATGATGATCAATTGGCTTGAATTAATTGATCTATAAGCAAAATAATTTAAATGTAAGTATCTACCAGCATATACATGAAATAAAAACTTACATTTATTGCCTTTCTAAAATACTCCGTTACGTTATTTTCCTCTTTCTATTCACAAACAAAAACTATTTGATTTTGATTTGACGGGGATATATATTTATATCAGAGACATAGATAACATGTTATCTATGTCTCTGTTTATATTTATTATTATCTTAAGCTTTTATCACGTGACAATTCATGTGTATATCATGTGATACATCATACAACCGAGACAAGTGACAGGACTTTGTCCTAATACTTAATATCTGATAAATCTTTAACTTATGATATAAATGTTGTTATTCTGCTGTTTTTCATTAATACACAATAATTTTTGTACCAATAACAACTTTATCTTTCAGTTGAACATAAGATACATATATTTTTTTATTTTATTAAATATGGCTTAATTCTCCATATATTGAGATGTATTTCTATCTTTCAATATATATTTTAATGAACCTTGTAGCATAGTACTTATGGCATCATATTTAGGATAAAAACTATCTTAGTAGACATACAATATTACAATTACATGTATCTATCCTGGTATTTCCAAATGAGCGTGGTACTGTACACATGATTTATTGAAACACAAAATACAAATAAAATGTTTTGAGAAATAATTGAAAATGAAGTTACCATACTCCTGATAATACACGTTACCCAAAATAAAAAGAAACAATTATACTTCATAAAGTTAATAAAAAAATGTAGGTGGTGAAATGCAATATATGTATGTAAAAACAAACATCATTTGTATGCACACTTTATTATAGATAAACTATTATTATATGTGTATATAACAGGGCGGACAAAAACCCTCCCATGAAAATGACTGGGCGGACAAAAGCCCTCCCGTGAAATAAGCAAGGCGGACAAAAGCCCTCCCGTAACAAAAATAAATATGTATGTTGAATACCTGTGTTTTTTTTCAATGCACTCCACATATTAAAATTGTGACATATATGTCTTGTTGTTTTCAATTGGCCTAAGTATGAGTATGAGCTAGAACCACCTTTTATTCTGAATATACCTTCCTGAAATGTTTAACGAGGTAACTTTTTACACGAATTTCGTAAAAAACGTTTACAATTTTAATATGTTGAGTGCATTGAAAAGAAAATATAAACTATTCAACGTACAAATATGTATTTGCTGCGGGAGGGCTTTTGTCCGCCCTATTATTTTTACGGGAGGGCTTTTGTCCGCCCTGTCATTTTAACGGGAGGGCTTTTGTCCGCCTTGTCACTTTTTGACGGGATGGCTTTTGTCCGGGAGGGCTTTTGTCCTACACTTCTTACCCACGTTATTTGTCATTTTCCCTCTCAATTATTCCGTATTGTACCATTTAACGATTAAAAAATGAAAAAAGAAAAAATAAGAAAAAACAACAACATTAACAAAAGAAAAAAACACCAAAACACCTGTATACGTTCGACCTCTTTATAATGCTCAGTGACTGAAATACCCGGTATCTGTGTCACCTGGCCTCAAGGTTATAAACTTTCTCCTGAGTTCAGTCTCAAAACTCAAGATTTCCATTAGTCTGTGCACACTCTGTGGCAGTTACTGACCAATCAAATACCTGAGATCTGAGTTTGAGCTAGAGAATTTATTAATAACCTTGGACCCTGAACTTTGTTCATTTATAAATACAATGTAAATATTATAATCAATTTCGATGATACACAATCTCAAATACATAGGAAGACCAACTTCATAATTATGGTTCACCCAAATAAACAGTATCTGTGCCACCTGAACTTTGTTCATTTATCAATACATATGATCAATTAGGTAACCTGTTCATGTTTTACTGAAAAGTAGCAATGTAAACTTTCAAATTAAATGTTATATTGGACATGACACAATTTATTCTAAATAATCAAAAGCAACAGAACATTGCTATACACCGCAAATGATCTGGGTTTTTTTTTATCTAGCGCAAGTGATTATTCCATAAAATAGAAATATTTTGCCAAAATTATCCCTGTTGAAAAGACTGCCAAAAATACAACTGCGTCGTATCATATTTTATTTTCAACTGCGTCGTATCATTTCGTAAAAATCATTATTTTCTAAGAAAATAAACATCTCTTTTAATGAAATTTTAGTAAATGATGCAAATTATATTTCGAAGTTTATGGTGAACTCTGAAACAAATATATAATTGATTTGAAGGAAAAAACGATAGATAAAGCAATATGAACTGCGTCGTATCCACACAATTTCATAAAAATTCTGCCCCGCTTCGAGATGCAAGTTCGCTATAACTTTTGTTTTACAAAATAGTTGTGCAAGCAACATATACCGAACGAAGCGGAAAATAGTGTAGCGTGTTAATACTTATATCTGGTTTTCAGTCATTTCCAACAAAAAGAGTTATAAACAAAAACATACGTTTTTCGTTCCAAGATGGCGGCGTTTGTTTACATTTTGTAGGATACGACGCAGTTTTGATTCCCAGCCCTGATTTAAGTACACAGAAAGTTGACACTTTAAATTGCTGTCCGGTTTTCAGAGGATTTTTTATGCATGTTTAGCATTAGAAGCCATAGAAAATCGTCCGGTTTTCGGAATTCAGAGGTTCCGGTATTCAGAGGATTTTTTTTTCAACAAACATATAGGGAGAAAATACGGGACTTTTAAAATGGTCCGGTTTTCAGAGGATTCCGGTTTTCAGAGGGTCCGGTTTTCAGAGTTTTTACTGTACAATGTAAATATTATATACACAATCTCAAATACATAGGGTCATGATTATGATTCACCGAAATGTCCATCGGTTCGAAAGATATGCCGGTTTCCGGTAAAAAAAATATGTAGGTTAAATTCTCATATGAGGAACTATTAGAAAATTTTACAAGTTTGAATTTGAATATGTACTATAATTGGGGGGTGGGGGGTGGGGGGGGGTGGGGGTGGGGAGGGGTAAATACTAATTGCTCCTTCTACTGTTCTTCGATAGCTACCAATTCATGTTTTGTCATTTGATGCAGTCTTTTTTTTTTTGAGAAATTTTTGTTGTCGTAGCTTCAATGTTTTAAACATCCATCATAAAGAAAATTCCCACTTCTATGGGAATTATAATAGGACAAGGAACCCGATTAAACGGAAGCAGTGATGAAATACCGAATGACACTCTTGAAACACAAAATATAAAATATAGATTGAACGATTTGTGTTTTCATCTGATGTCCCCGTTCATTGGCTTTGCCTTCTTTCATATTACAGGAAAGTCAAAGGCCGGGACGAAGAAGCTAACCCGGTCTCTGACTTACCCGGTTATAGACTACATGTGTATATTTAAAAGGAAATCAGATAAAAAATTAAAAATACAAAAACGGACATGGAATTCTATACCTGTCGCAGAAATTTCATTTCTAGTGGGCGCCGCCACTTATAATGCAGCACAATGATAATCGCAGGGGTATTCTGATAATAGAACAATCGCAACTTTTCGGCTGAAGAATAATCTCTCTCTCTCTCTCTCTCTCTCTCTCTCTCTCTTTAAAACGAAAAATATAAAAATAAAAATGAACGATTTTTTTAACGACTTTCCCGTTTATAGGCACAATTTTATAGACTTATTCGTGTACTGCATTGTAAGTAAATAGAGGATATTGAATGAGTGTTAATTCCATACTGAATTTCTTGAACAAGTTCGCCACTGAATTTATTGAAAGATTTGAATAAAATTATACTATGATCATAATTTATGTATTATTTTATTTAACGAGTTCAATAAATTCAGTAATGAACCTACACGGATATAATATTCTATTTACCCAAACTAAGACTGTTTACAATGAAAAAGAATCATTTTTTCATTGACCCGTCAATGGTGAAACACTTATATTTATCGCGTGTTTAGATTGTTTGTAATATCAAAAAGGCAAAGCCTCAAAGCGAGCTCGATATTACTTTTACCATGAAAAAGTATAAAATAATCGTTCATTTTTATTTTACATTTTCCGTTTTAAAATTGTCATTCGGTATTTTATGCACTGCTTCCATTTATTATGGTTCCCTGTTCAATTATGGTTACCATTTTAGTGCGCGGGTCACCAGTCTACGCTTCCGTTTTCAATCTGAATTATTAACTCGGATTTTATTGTTTTCTTGTAATTCGAAAAGTTGCGATGTGTCAATTCAGTACTTCGGACGAAAGTTTGCAAAACCATCATTATCTAGTAGGTACTCGCGTTACTGTAAAGCTCGCTTTGCGAGCAGGACCTTCGGGCCAGCTCGTCGAGCTCGCTATAACGCAAATGACGTCACTTCAAAATATATGCACGACCGTGCAATTCTATTTTTACGGAGTCGCAAAAGCGGCGTGGGTTTATAATCAAACATAAAACATCGTAATGGCTGCCATGCGTCATTGATATATGATTTATGCCCGTTAATTAACTATTGCCTGCAGCCAGTGACTGTCCGAATTTACCCATTATCTACCAGTGCAGACAAGTGCAGACCAAAGTCACCCTATGTCACCTGACTGATATCGGTGTGCAGTCATTTAAATATTTTTAAATAATTCCCTAGTAACGGAATCTCCCAAAACCTCATAATAATTAAATTTATGTATTGGTTGATGCAAAAATCCTGTATATGCATAAGATTTAATATTTTTTCTGTTCTGTTCAGTTTCAACTCTGTTCTCTTCTGTTCTATATGTATATCATTAAGTAACAAGTTTTCTTAAGGCCTTACGAGTTGCTTCCCTTTCCGATAGATAGGTTGCTAGTTTTATGAAAATGTTTCATGAACGTCATAGTGTTATTATAAATACATATATTATTGTTCATTCTTTTCTTAAATAGACGTGCTATATTTTCAAAATAAAATCTGCAGTGGTGGTGGTGTTGTTGGTGGTAGTATACCGTTCGGATCACGGCAAGAAGCTACGGCACAGTTCAACCAACGCATCGTTCCTGGCCAAGTTGTAAAGCAGTTTACAAATTACTAGTAATGATTGCCTCCATTTTCGCCAGGAACTGATAAGTTCTGCCAGAGCAGAGGTAAAGTGTGAATGGCCATAGATCAATCGCACCGATTGATTTCACCTCCGGGGAATTTTCAAAAACCGGAGGGCCCCAAATTTCCCCAGCCCCATCGTTCAAAACCTTAAAGTTTGTGTTGTTTGTTTTTTGCGTTTATTTAAAACTAGTACCGGTTGCCCACATGGGCGGGGTCCTCCAGAAGCGAAATTAGTCATTTAAGATTTTTGGAGGTTTAGTCCCAATAACGGATACGAAAAAATGCCCCAACCAAAAAAGCTTCTCCTGGTTTTTTTCCCCCGTCCCAAAGTTTTTTTAAGCACCCATCCCACGGGACCTCGTTTTTTAAAGCCCTAAATTCAAAAAGGACTAAAATTTGGGTAAAAATTCAGGGGGGCCCTTTCCCCCGGGAACCCGAACCCACATAGTCGAGTTTTTAACAAGTTTTCACGTTTCAAACCGATTGATTTTATGCGGGCTGATTTAAATTTTTTGGGGCGGAGTTTTTTCGTGTTTTTTAGTTCTTTGTCCGGTCTTTACTGTATTTAGTAGGACGACCTATTGAGCTTACCGGACGGTATAGAAATTCTGTACGTCCGCCTTCTCAGTCCTGGAAAGCAGGAGTGCATTCATTCATATCAAGTTTAAGTTGGAAATGCAAGTTAAAGATGGAGTTTGTTCTCACAACTTAGTCACCTTTTCCATTCCATGTATTGCTGTATATATACAGCATCTTACCCGGTTTATTCTTAAACCTCAAATGTATGGAAAGGATTTTTGCAACAAACGCTGGTTTTCCATTGCAAAGATAGAACTTTTCAATGATTAAGGTTTTATTGGAAAGCTTTCTCTTTGACAGGGAAGTGAAAAATAATCCCATCGTCTGTGATTAATATGATTCTAATTCTTAATGATAATTATTCTTAATGATAATAATTCTTAATAAAGATACTGATTCTGTTGCCGGGGATCTTGTTGCCGTTATTGATAGTGTTGGTGCCAATATTATGATGATGATGATAAAAGTTTTACATGTATTATGTTGATATTCAATGTTGAATGTTGAAGTTTTGATTCTGGTTGTGTAATGATGATGAAAATGATGACGACGATCGATGACGATGATGATGACGATGACGATAATGATGATGATGATTATAATGATGATGATGATGATGATGATGATGATGATGATGATGATGATGATGATGATGATGATGATGATGATGTTTGTAAAAATCATTAGGAGTCTTATTTTTGTTGGTGTAATTGACTATCGTAATTGTTCTCAAGGGACATAAATGTAGAAATAAGTACATTCTGGTATTGTGCAAGAGTTTTTTCCCTTGTGTTTTCGTACTTCTTCGTCCAGTTGCGCTACTCTTCGTGTTATAGCCTCAAATTAAGTTTAAGTTCAAGAGCGTTATTTAGGAGCCGATTTTAATCAGATTATGAAGAGCCTCATCTCTACTGATGGATTATTTTCGTACTACAGGAGGACTCTAGCTTATGTCAGATTTGACACTTTTTTTTGATGTCATTAACAATATATTAAATCGAATATGTATAACATTAAAGGCGCATAATGCCTCAGAAATCCATATTTTTTTCTAATTCTTACGAAATGTGAAACATTTGTTTAATGATGTTAAAACAACGGATTTAGAGCACGTTGTGAAGGAAGTAGCGCTTAACGTGCAGTAATGTCATAAAATGTAAACAAAATACTAATTTACTATTATTGAATCAATTACCAACAAAGCAAAAGAATAACAAAATTTTTCATCTATGTGGAAAATGGAAACTGTTAAAAAGTCCCAAATTAAATTTTTTTCGAGAAAATAAAACTGATAGCATTTCTGATTTAAGGAAATAGAAAGTTCTTTGTTTTCTGTGGTAAATCGCTTTATGTGTAATACTGTTGAAAACGTATGTAATTTACGGTTTAATGTTTCTATCACAGGTATCATTGTAATTATCATATAATTAATATGTTGATGGCAAAGCTATAAATTGTGAATTTTAACAGTTTATTGCGATATTTGACAAGATACCGTTTAAATTGCTCTATTGGACAAGATATCGTTATGTATATTGCAATATTTCATCGGGCTCCGCACAATATTTAATAAAGTATTGCAATATTTGATCGTGCTCTGTACAATATTTAATAAAGTATTGCAATATTTGATCGGGCTCCGCACAATATTTAATAAAGTATTGCAATATTTGATAGGGCTCCGCACAATATTTAATAAAGTACTGCATCATTTGACAGTTTTTCGCTATATATATGTATATGTACGACTGTAACTAAAACCGTCATAAATGTGATATTTGACATTTAATCGTAATATTCGACAGGATATCTTTGCATATCGCGGTATAATCGTCCAGTTATTGCTATATATTGAAATATTTGTTAGGATATCGTTATATATCGTGATATATTTGACACGGTATTGCCATAAATTGCCATAATTTCCAGTATATTGCTATACACTGTATTGTGATATTTGACAGGACATTGTTATATTTATATGAGTTGCCATATAATTAAAAACTTTATTAAACTAATTAAGGAAATGATTGTAAATAGAGCCTCTGACGGACTTTGTCACATTTTCGCTAACAAGATTAATAAAAGTAATAGATACCTCATAAAATAAAACAAATCAACTTTCAGTGTCTGAACCAATTGACCCCATTCTGAATGTGATTTTTTTTCTGGAACTTTTAAATGACAGGATTTATATTTAAAACTGAATAAAGAGTTTTAATTTGTTTGACATGCTTCTACAACACTTAAAGCTTACGCCGCCAGGTCCCCAGGGTAAAACAGATTATTTCGTTTTTGTCATGAACTTGAAATAATAATGTTAAGTAAAAATGTATAAAACATATATCAACATCATATTCACTTATCAATACTTGTATAAGACGTAATGGTTATACATGTAATACCGTTGGCCTAGTGGTTAAGGCGTCAGCCTTCAGAACGGGAGGTGGAAGGTTAAAGACCCAAGGGAAGCATTAATAGAAGGGTGAATGTTTCTCGTTACGAAATGGCCGCTTCGTGAGCCGCGCGGTAGTTAAAATGAATGGTTACCCAAATTTTATCCGCCTGGCGCTTGTCATAGTGGTAGGAAATGGAAGGTACATGGTATGCAAGCAAAATATGCCTCGTAAGTCAGAAATGGCTGGCCCTTTCAGTAGGGGTGACACAATATATAATAAACAAGATCTTTTTACATTTAATACAAGCAGCTTCCTGTGATAAAAATGTTGTATTTTGACGAGTACACAGCAGAAGGAACAAACTTGCTCCTCGAACTACCAAGGTTGTCCGGCAGACATCTCCTTCATATAGTGAATTAGTCTTGAGTTCCTTCCCCTTACACTACGTAATAGTATGGAGTTCCTTCCCCTTACACTACGTTATAGTCTGGAGTACCTTCCCCTTACACTACGTAATAGTATGGAGTTCCTTCCCCTTATACTACGTTATAGTCTGGAGTTCCTTCCCCTTACACTACGTTATAGTCTGGAGTTCCTTCCCCTTACACTACGTTATAGTCTGGAGTACCTTCCTCTTATACTCCTTTCCGCAGGGAACCAGACTTACAGTGAATCTGTTTAGAGAGAAACTATCAAAATAATGAGGCTTGTGTTTGCAGAGAATTTTAAGCTTAAATATATAACAAATGCACACGTTTTTATACCAAACTGTGACACAAATACTTGACTCCATTATTTAGAGCATCACACCCGTTATCTTAAGGTCTTGCGCAGATTAACATCTTCATCTGAAGATAGAATTACACACGAATTGAAAAATAAACACCTGTACATTTATCTTTTGTATCTAGAAGTGAGTGAAACATATCTAGTGCATGACTTTAAATGATCTTGAATGAAAAACCAATCACGGATTTGTTTTATGTTTGGGCTAACGAGTGGTCCACTATATTCCGTTTGTCATATACGACATGTCGTGTCCATCTAGCATGCGTAAAATCTTAGCGGAGAGTGTTATACGATAACGATATCGATTATAGGCCCTATTGATGATAGCGATAATCGCGACTGCATTGATAGCGATAATCGCGACTGCATTGATAACAATGATGAAGATGACGGCAGTGGCCGTGCTATCGTTGCATGAATTTGACGGGGATGGTGATGGCAACAACAACAACAACAACAACAAAATAATAACGATGATGTGGATTTCTGGAATTCTGGATATTGTATAAAGAGCCACTGCCAATTTTACACGATTCAAATTTTATCTATGACAATTATACATGTAGTAGTAAACAAGTCAATATAGATGGTGCTAATGGCATTGGTAATGATGAGACAACTATCGTTACCATGACGATGATTGACAGATAAATGCCATGATGGTTTGGTTATAGCGATGATGGAACAAGATAACGTTGCCGTAGACAACGTCTATAGCGACGAAGAAGAAGAAGATGATGATGATGGTGAAGATGAGGATAATGACGTTAGCGATGATGGTGATGATGATGATGATCAATATGATGATGATGACTATAGCGATGATATTGAGGATGATGACTATAGCGATGATAATGATGGTGGGGATGATGATGATGAAACTGATGATCAATATAAGGATAATGATGGTGGTGATGATGAAAGTAATGATGATGGTAATATTGATGATGATCGTGTTGCTGATGGTGACTATGATGAAGATAGATTCAATGCTTAATGTACAAACCAATGTCTAAAACTTGCTGTGTCAACAATACTCTCTTTAAAAACAATACAGTATACGGTATACATAAACAACATGACTATGGAATTTTATAATGTAAAAGATCTTTTTTTAGATAGCGTGCCTGTTTCAAAAAACATTTTACATTTGCAAAATAAGCTATAATCTCATGCATGAAGTCTGCATGAAATTTGACACCTGTATCTACTTTACCATTCACGACAATAAAGAAAACATCGTTTAGGGGTGTTCGTAGGTTACAACAGATATTTATCAAATTAACCTCCATTCAAACGAAGGGTTTAATTTAGAAGAAGAGCATCCGTGTATAAAACTAAATTTGTTAATTACAGCGACTATCTTTGATCAAATGTGACAAAATCAACCCATTTAAGAGATCCTAGATCCTAGACAAGAAGTTGTTCTTTAATGGTTCTTTAAAAGAATAGAATTAAAACAATGGCACTGTTGTATTTTGTATCTGTTTGGTTTTATAACACGCGAAATATCATTAGACTGCAGTATCTATGATCAATTAAATGACCTGGATTTGGGGTTGTGCAAGGGGGGTAGATTGTACCTAGGTTTTCTATGGAACACTATAATGGTTTATTTTGTAAGTTACACAATTATTTCATTAAACCCAATTTAGTATCTTTCTTATATTTCCAAACATGACTTAAAATAATCGTGTAAAAGTAAACTTAAATGATGTGAAATTTAACTATTTTTCTGTATAGGATTAAAAACACAACTATTTCATTTGGTCAGGGTCTTTTAATTTTATTTGAAAAAAATCCTTGATGTGTTTGAAAAATAAATAAATAAACAAGTTGAATTGTACAATATAAATTATACGCTTGCAGTTCTACGTTGTGTTTGTATGCTGTTTATGTTGCTCTTGACTTATCAACCAAAGGTAGGAGTTGTCTCTTTGCCGATTGGGAATGGCAAAAACATGCGTGTGCTATTTTCATTTAATCTTTATTATACTTTTTCGTCCAATGAATACGATAATTTTGAAAATTTCTGACATTCTGTTTCCCATATATGTCTTCAACAGCGCTTATTTAGCAATTTATGCGCTTAGATCTCGCGTATTTCATGCGCTAATATATGGCGTCTTTTGTCCGCTTAGATGTGTGGTCTTAGTGGGAAAAACGAAAAGTAGACTTAGAAGAAAAATTTAAGTAGCTACAGTTTTCCGCTCAACTCTCAGATTTTAGCAGTGAGCGTAATATTATTACTTAACATGTGCATGACAGGAGTAAATGATGGCGAACAATTCATGCGCGAACTACTGTTTTATGATCTATTTTTAGCGCAAATACTTTAATCGTAATATATTGAGCAAGATGTCTCGCTCTTTTTGTTCTATATATTTACGAATTATATTTTAGAATTAAGATGTGCAAGGGCCTCAAATATTTGGCATTTAATATCCAAACATCTCATCTTTTCGCTAGGCTAGTCTACAAGTAACACGATAGGCTCTTGTATCTGTCACATCTATTAAACATTGTTGTAACACCCAGACGGCTAATCTTTGAATCCAATCTTGATTTTATAAATGTATATACTTAATATACATTAATAAGTCAAACGTAGGTATATATATTAAAACAATCAAATGTTAGAGTGTTAGATTATCGAGATAAGTAGTTCTTTTGTATTGAAATGCATGCGTAAGAATACGTCGTTATTCTTCGGGACTATTTTTCGGGTAGTTGAATTTCTTGTTTTGTAATTAAGCATTACATGTGAAACACGTTCATCAGATTAGTTAGGAAATGAATACCACCTATAAATGAAATATGTTATATCAAAAAAACATTTAATATGAAATTTAATCATTGTGTAAAGATAAATAGGTTCCCACACAATACACCGCAGCTAGCTTCTTTTTTTTTATCTATTTGATACAAAATCATCGCACATAATATGTAACCATTTGTAGATCTAAACGTCTGAATAATTCCTGATTAAGATATAAAAAAGAATTGTTTAATTTAAATCAAACAAACTGACTGACGGACATATGTCTGTTTTGTTAATGACTCGACTGTAATCCAGGATTTATGCAAATTGGGGTAGCATTAAGTATAGTTATATAGTGATTAAGTGTTTTGTGTGGTAGTCAAAATACTTCTTTGTTTACATTGTGCTATCTTTATTACAAATAATTTCACATTCAGCGCTACTTTCTCCAGGTGATAAGCATCTTACATACTCTATAACACCATTATCTAAATGTTATAAACATCAGGTTTGCCCATTCTAAAAAAGGGGGAACAATTATTCATTTCTGAGGGCATGTTGGGCCTTTAATGTCAGTAATTTTGGAGAAATTAAAATACAAAATATTTCAGTTTGAAATAAACGTTTTTGCTGATTTTTTTTATTGTAACAATGATAACAAAAGAAAGGTTAAAGACAAAATTCAAATTCTTAGGTAATTACGGAAATTTAGCGATTTGCTATTAAAATGTCGATTGCTTAAAGATGTCCGGGTAAAATCATCTCCTCGCGTAAATTTATGCTAGCGGACATTATCCCCTTTGTGGTTTGTGAACCTTTTTGAAAGAACTATAAATGTAAATATAAAAAATGTCTCAAAAAGAAATAATGACATTTTTATTAAATATATTAAGTCAATATAATGATTATTTTTTATATTTATTCTAATGCAAACTTCGATCAGTATTTTACGAGTGTAGGACAAAAGCCGTCCCGGACAAAAGCCCTCCCGTCAAAAAGTGACAAGGCGGACAAAAGCCCTCTCGTGAAAATGACAAGGCGGACAAAAGCTCCCCACCCCCCGACAAAAGCCCTCCCTTAAAAAATGACTTGGCGGACAAAAGCCCTCCCGTGAAAATAATAGGGCGGACAAAAGCCCTCCCTTACAGATATGCAGTTATTAATTTATATCTAACTTATTGTATGATAATTAAAAAAGGTAAGATATACTAGTAAAATGGTTTTTTTTGTTACCGCCCCCAGTACAGTCCATTCTATACATTGGGCGTGTGGGGGTTTTGTCCACTCTATAAAATTTAGGTCTGGGGTTTTGACGTGTGGGGTTTTGTCCGTGTGCCCGTTGACTGGTGGTTCAGGTCGTAAATTAAAATTGAAGTTGGCTCCAATACATATGAACCTCATCGCTATGGGTTCGAGTCTCACTAGGAACTTTTTATTTTTGCATGTGGAAAAGTTATCCAGCTTGCGTATAGTTTATGAAACGTGGGTTGTTCTACTCAGGTGCCCGTTCGTGCCTGCAATGATACACAGACGGGCACCTGAGGTCTTCCTCTACAAGAAAATCTGAAATATCGCCATATTACAGTGCTGGTTCGAACGAACGAACGAACGAACGAACGAACGAACGAACGAACGAACGAACGAACGAACGAACGAACGAACGAACGAACGAACGAACGAACGAACGAACGAACGAACGAACGAACGAACGAACGAACGAACGAACGAACGAACGAACGAACGAATGCCTTTTGCATGTATTACTTTATATTAAAATGAATACATTAATATATTGAACTGTTTGATATACATTTTAACATCGTCGTTTGAAATTGATGTAAAAAAACACTATGATGTCAAAATGTTAATTTATAACTTGAGAGAATAATAGTAAGGATAATCACTTCTTAGTGTCAGAAAATAATTTTTATTTTGTTCTTAAAGCAGCATGCCCCCAATTTTCATGTAAAGTTTCATTAAAAAAAAAAGAAAAAAGAAAGAAATTTATTCAAAAGTAAAATATTATATGATGTGGACAAAGAAATTATTTTTCACATTGCAAACGGTGCTTAAAGAAAAAAAAGAAAAAAAGTAAACAAACAAAAAAGAAACAGAAAAAAATTATTACTTCAATCTTATTTTTTTTTACTTTTATAAAAATCTTATAACTTTTTTCTCCACTTTTATGTTCTGTCAATATTTGTTACTCATTTGAAGGCAAGCAGCTTTAAGAGGCAGGCAATTAAAACGCTTCAAATTCATACTTTTTTTTTGCAGCTCTGTAGGAAAAAAACACAAAAAAACACACACAATGAGAAAAAAAAATCGACCAGAAGAACATTATCGTTGTAGGTACATGTATGACAATTATCGCCAGACTGGTTTAACAATTATAGAAAAGAGCCGTCAAGTCTGTACATTGTTTTCGAGTCCAAGGTGTTAAAACAATAACTATAGACGTTTACAGATCAGTTATTTTCACGCCTGTGTTAATTTCTGAAAAAATATCTACTCGCCAAATTAATCTTTCAGACACATGGCCATCAATGGGAGATAGGAATACTGCTATTTTTAGGTGACCGTCTTCGTTAATTGACACTTTCCTGTTAATTGGAATAGCGCGTGAAACGATAATCAATATTTTCCTTAATTGGCACTTGTTATGTGTATTGTCACCTTTTCACCGAAGAATACTCCTAAAACGTTTATAAGCTCAGATTTTTTAAAACATTTATCATATTGTTTTCTGTTCATCACATTAAACACAACAAACTAGCCAAGCTACCAAAAATAGAAAAAATCTACCATGTCAGTCAACATGAACGCTGATCTACGTCAACGATTACGTCACGCGGAGATCTTCTTCCGGCGGGCATGTGAGCAGGTTTTTGTCTTGAACCGTCAAGTTGAAGAAGCGACTCTGAGATTCCACGACGCCGACGCAGCTTCAAATAAAGTTCGTCGTTACAACGTTCGTCTGCGACTGTCAGTTCTGGAGGGAGTTCGTAACATGTTTTACGAATATGCCGCCAAGAAAGCAGCCGACATAGTAGAGCTTCAGCGTTGCGTTCTAGATGCTGACTTTTCTTCCGACGACGGCGATGACAGCGACTCGGAAATGTCCGATCTGATGTTCGGCTACGCACATGGTTCAGACGACTCCTCATCAGACGACAATTTTTGTTGATGATGCTGCCATAGCAACAAGCTTTTACGACATTCAATGTCATAAAACG